ACGTCGCGCCACCGCAGAACATCTCAACCCGAGCCCTGGACGCCATCTGCCTGCTGCACTCCTCGAGCTGGATCGATACTCGAGGGCCCGGGGGCCCGGACATCAGGGCAACCGCGCCCGCTGCGAACAACATTGCGGCGCCTGGACCCAAGGTCAAACGTCTGATCTCTATAGATCGATATGCAGACAGAAAGACATGCACACGCATGTGTAATATGTACATACATATATATACTAGAACCATCGCGGGAGCTTCGCGCGCGTTTTGGTTCTAGCCGAGATCACGGTAAGGCCGTGGCAGAAGTATCAAGGCAGCCCGTTTCGTATGTGTATATACATATATATATATACATATATATATATATATATATATATATATATATATATGTATATATATATATATATTTGTGCGCGTATGTGTACATGTATATTCCTCTTCCTATATTTTTTTACAAGCCCGAGGGGGGGGGGGGGGGGAAACCATCCCCCTCCCCTAAACTGGACCCCCGGGATCTGGGGTTTTCGGGCTCCCTTGGACGTCCTTGGAAAAATGTCACCCGGCTTTCCGGGTCTCCACAAACGCCTTGCCAGCAGACCCAGAGCGATCCGAGGAATCATCAGAAAGGCCCAAGGGAGGCCCCAGACAGCACAAGAGCGCTCCAAGAGGGACTCCAATTGCGTCAGGACGGCCCAAGAGACCCCCAAGGCACCCCAAAAAGCTTTCCAAGGGGCCTTCAAACCACAAACATCGCCCCATTTCCTTCGTAAAACTTACAATGTTAGCATATTCGCCTTTCGGATTTCATCAGCTTTCAAGACGGTTTCAAAGCCCCCGAGATCGCCTCCAGACGCCCCAAAAGGTCCCCAATAAAGCTTCAAGACGGCCGAGCCGGGCGCCACGATCGCCCACAAGAGCCCCAAGACAGCCCATAATGGAACCAAGATGCCCCCCAAGGACTCCCAGCACAGACCCAAAAGGGCCATGGGAGGTCCCCGGAAGTGCCCAAGATGGGTCCCAAGGGGGCTCCAGCAGGCCCAAGTCCCCAAGACGGCCCAAGAAGGCCCCAGGACGGCCCATGAAGGCGCCAAAACGGCCCACGAGGGCCCCGAAAACACCCCCACGATGCTTCCGAATGCCAACAGAAAGACCCCCAAGGCACCCCAAAAAGCTTTCCAAGGTGCCTTCAAACCACAAAAATCGCCCCATCACCTTCGTAAAACTTGCAATTTTAGCAGATTCGCCTTTCGGATTTCATCAGCTCTCAAGACGGCTTCAAAGCCCCCGAGATCGCCTCAAGACGCCAGCTTCAAGACGGCCGAACCGGGCCCCACGATCGCCCACGAGAGCCCCAAGACAGCCCATAATGGAACCAGAGGCCTCCCAAGGGTTCCCAACACAGGCCCAAAAGGGCCATGGGAGGTCCCCGGAAGTGCCCAAGATGGGTCCCAAGGGGGCTCCAGCAGGCCCAAGCCCCCAAGACGGCCCAAGAAGGCCCCAGGACGGCCCATGAAGGCGCCAAAACGGCCCACGAGGGCCCCGAAAACACCCCCACGATGCTTCCGAATGCCAACATAAAGACCCCCAAGGCACCCCAAAAAGCTTTCCAAGGGGCCTTCAAACCACAAACATCGCCCCATTTCCTTCGTATAACTTACAATTTTAGCAGATTCGCCTTTCGGATTTCATCAGCTTTCAAGACGGCTTCAAAGCCCCCGAGATCGCCTCAAGACGCCCCCAAAGGCCCCCTAGTAATCTTCAAGACGGCCGAGCCGGGCGCCACGATCGCCCACGAGAGCCCCAAGACAGCCCAATGGAACCAAGAGGCCCCCCAAGGGCTCCCAGCACAGACCCAAGAGGGCCATGGGAGGCCCCCGAGATTGGCCGAGATGGGTCCGAAGGGGGGCCCAGCAGGCCCAAGCTTTCCGAGACGGCCCAAGAAGGCCCCAGGACGGCCCATGAAGGCGTCAAAACGGCCCACGAAGGCCCCGAAAACACCCCCACGATGTTTCCGAACGCCAACATTCATTGATTTTGCTCCCGTGACATGTCACATCGCGACCCAGTCGTTGAGGGCCTCGCGGCGCGCAGCGAAGATGCCCGACGATACCCCGTACGAGTTGCACACGCACGTTCATACCCTCAAACACATAGATGTTTATGTACATACGTACGCTGTATACACACATACAACAATGTAAGCGTATTGCGCACACCTAGACATTTATACAGAACGCGCGCGCGCGTGCGCGTGTTCACACGCACGCGCGCACGCACGCACGCACGCATTCCGCTCGCGCGCGGAACTCAAAGGGCCAAGGTACATGGCGCGCAGCGCCAACGCAGCCTTGTGTATATATATATATATATAGAGATATATCGATGTCCGCCCTTCTCCTCTTTCTCTTCCTTCTCCTTCTCCTTCTCCTCGTCTTCCTCCTCCTTCGCCCTCTTCCTACTCCTCCTCCTCCTCCTCGCCTGTCTCTTTCTTCCGTTTCCTTAGTTCCCTTCCTTCTCCTCCACCACCTCCTCCTCCTTCATGTGCTTACGCTCCTCCCACGTGTTCTTCTCCTCCTCCTCCTCTTCCCTCTCCTCCTTTTCCTCCCCCTCCTCCTCCTCCTCCTCAATGTCCCGTGCCCTTCCTCATCCCCCCCCCTTCCCTGGTACAGACGCCTCCCGACCCGGGCGCCCTCCCCGGTCCGGGTACCTTTGGGAACCGTAGGTCCCACGACCCTTGAAGTCGGCCCCACGAGTCCTCCGAACCCTTCGGCCCCTGGGCGCCCCCGACCTCTAGGGTCGAAGATCCTCAATCGCGGCCCCACGACCCATCTGCTTCCGAGACTCTTCGGCCCCTATGACCCGCGGAATGACGAGGAGGGACACACGGCAGAAGCAAGGGAGAGAGAGAAGGAGAAGTCGATGGGGAAGCAGGAGGAGGCGGGGGAAGAAGAGGGAGAGGAACAGGAACAGGAGGAAGAGCAGCCAGAGGAGGAGGATCAGAGGAAGGAGGAGGAGGGGGAAGGGCCGCCACTCACATGGGACTTGTGTTCCCGGGAGTCTTCCTGGGAACATCTTGCGCGACAGGGCGACAGGAGGAGGAGGACCCCGAGAAAGAAGAGGGGGGGAACGAGAAGGAGGATAATATCGGCGAGGTGGAAAAAAGGGAGGCACGCGGAATTATATTCCCGGGAAGCTCCCCGAGAACATATTTCGTGACAGCAGGAGAAGGAGCCCGAGAAGGAGGACAGGAACGAGGAAGGCTAGAGCAGGAGGAGGAATCTCAAGGAGGAGGAGGAGAAGGAGGAGAAGGAGGAAGAGGAGGGGGAGGAGCAGGAGGATGAGAAGGACGAGGAGGACAAACACGCAGGACAAGGTGAGCGGCAGGAAGAGGAGGAAGAGCAGGACGAGCAGGACATAAGGAGTAGGCAGAAGGGAAGGAGGGTAAGGAGGAGAAGGGGAGCGGGAGGAAAGGAGGTTCAGGGGGAGCAGGAGGAGGTAGAAGAAGGAAAGGGGGAGGTGCAGGAGTAGCATGAAGAGCAGCCGCAGCAGGAGGACATGGGAAGAAAGACGAAGGGGCAGGGTGGCGAAGAACAAAAGAATGACTTGAACGCAAGCAAAGAAATTATGTTCCCGGCAGGCGATCCGGGAACATATTTCGAGAGACCGGGAGAGAGCTCCACAAACAGAGGGGTGAGAAGGAGGAGAAGGGGAACGGGAGGAGGGGGAAGGGAGAGGTGCGGGAGTAGCATGAAGAGCAGCCGCAGCAGGCGGAGGATCAGGGAATGACGATGTGCGGCGAAGAACAAAAAACAAGTCTCGAGGAATGCTGTTCCTGGCAGTTCCGGGAATGTATGTGTGTGTATATATATGTCTATATATATATATATCCTGAGACCGGGAGAGAGCTCGACAACCAGAAGAAAAGAGGAGCAGGAAGGTTATAAGGCGGACGAGAAGCAGGGTGAGACGCAGTTTTTTTCAAGCCTCTTGAAGATGTGTTGGTCTATCTCGGGGTCGTTGTTTGGCCTCTTGGGCGGCCTGGGCATGTTGAGGGCCTCTGCGAGCTTTTTTTTTCACCTCTCGGGGTCCGTGTCGGCACTCCTTTGGACCGTTCTCGGTGCCTCTTGTGCCGTCTTGGGGCCCTCTTGGGCCGTCATGGGGGCCGCTTGGAGCTCTCTGGGGCCGTCTTGGTGCGGTGTAGGAGGCGTCGTGGGCCGTCTTGGAGCGCTCTGGGGCTGGTTTTGGGCCTCCGTCCCAAGGTCAACAAGAGGTCTGGGGTCGCCGCTGGCGCCTCGGAGGCCTTGGAACGCTGAAACCTTGTAAAAACACCGGGAAAGTGAGCCCCGGAGCCCCCATGCTGCGCGCGGCGGGGGTACTTATAAGTACTTATGCAGTTACGCCAATTATAAGTAGCTCCTAAGTCGCTCGTAAGTAGCTGATAAGTAGTGTAAGTAGCTCGTAAGTAGCTCATAAGTAGTGTAAGTAGCTCATATGTAGCTAAGTTACTTAGGAGCTACTTATAAGTAGGGGCAGCCTACTTATAAGTAGCGTAAGTACTTATAAGTACTTTGGCCTACTTATAAGTACTTACGGCCTACTTATATAAGTAGCGTAAGTAACTTACGAGCTACTTATGTAAGTGGCGTAAGTGCCACATAAGTGGCGCGTAAGTGCCACATAAGTGGCGCGTAAGTGCCACATAACTGCAGTTACGCAAACTAACGCCATGTATGGGCATGCATTTTCAATCAATATATATAACAGCGCGCGCGCTGAACAGGACGCCCAAAACACTTGTGACGCCAATGTCGTTAACCCTAAACCCTAAGAGAACCTTGGTGCCCGATCTGGAATATTGCGCGGGCGCCGTGGGAGGCATGCTGCGAAATCAATAGTTGTTTCATGCATTTGTGCTGCCGCTGGCCCAGACAAAGGTTTCAGGCACCCCAAGCTTGCGTTCAGCGCAGCCCCCGCCTTGCGTTTCGCGCATTGCAGTTGGGCCATGGCGGGTGAGACCATGCAGGCTCGCGTGGAGCGCGTCCAGGAGCAGAGATCTTCGACATCATCAAGGAGTACACGTTGAGCCATTGCCCCCCGATTCTCCAGTTGCGCGACCAGGCGGTGCGATTGTTGCGGAAGGAGGGTCTGCTGAGGCGCCAGAAAACGAATGGGCGCTACGTGGCCGTGCACCCGCGGAACAGGTACGGCGATGGCATAATTCCATCCCACGTGCGCACGCTGGTGCACAGTTTTTGCAGCGACGGGTTCAGCATGGATGAGGTGGGCGTGCCCTTTGCCATCGAGATGCCACCCCCATCTCACCAGCGCCACGCCGAGGCACTCGAGTTCAACGGAGACCTTGTCAAGGAATCCCACGGCTTCTTGCCGCCATACGACGAGGGCGAGATCAAAATCCTTAGCGTGAGCAAGTCGCACACGACCCAGGCGACCCGCTGCATTCAGTTTGGCAGCCCTACAGATTCAGATAACGTCGAGTTCGGTACCGACGGGAAGCTTGACATCCACAAGATCGGGTTGAAGCGCCCCACGTTGGCAGATGCTGCGAAGGAGGGGTTTGAATGGGACGTGCTTGTCTGGCAGGCTGAAGACGCATTCGGCGCCATTATAGACTTGCTCCAGGACCCGCTTAAGTTTGTGAAATCGATGGCCCACCCTTTAACTTTTCGATTGCCCCCGCCCCCGCCCCCCCCCGCATTTATGTTGGCTTTAGCCGCGTTCAATCAGGAGTCTGGAAATGCTGCGCAGAAGGTTTCCATGAATGAGACTAGGTGGGAGACCTTGTTCAAGATGCACGGGGACGTGCAGAAGATCGTCACCAACTTCGAAGCCAATAAAAAGGAGGGCGACATATTGAACCCCGACGTCGCGTGGGGCAGGGCAATAACAAAAGCGCAATCCAGAAATCCAGATTTCGTTTCAGAGATCCAGAGTTTGGCGACGTTTGCGAGGAAGCTCGCTGGTGGACCAGACGCACCGAATTTGAAGGAGCTTCGGGCTTTCAACCGTTCGTGCCAGAAGCCGCGCATTGTGCAGGGCCCCGTCTTGGCGGCGGTGGCTGATGCAGTGATCGGCTCGGATGGTTTGGGCTGCATTCCCTTCCGCATTGATTGCGTAAAGGCAATGATGAGCGCCGACAGCAAGTATGCATCGGGCGACTTTCAGAACCTCTTTGCATCGGGTGACTTCGGGCTTAAGCTCACGAGTAACAAGGAAGTGCAGCGCATGATCTCGCAGGCAGACATCATGAAATCGATGGCTATAGACATCGCAAAAACTGTCAACCTGTCAGAAGACAACGCGGCCGTGAAGACGTTGATCAACAGGTTCGGCATGAGGCTCGTGCACCATTGCATGAAGAAGCCCGACCCCAGGAGCCAAAAGTTCGAGTCGCTTCACCACATCGGCTACGAGTACGTGCAAGACCTGGCTACCATTGCAGGCACGCAGATCACATCCCCGTGGGCGAAGAAAGGAGCCCCGCCCAAAGCTCCCGCGCAGCAAGCTGCGGCTTCTGCACAAGTGCAGAGCGTAGGCGGAATCGCCGACAGGATGCACAAATTGGCAAGTATGGGCGTGAGCGCCAATTGCCACATCGAGGTCATCAAGATGAAAACTGTATACAAGGTGCAGGAAGTCAAGGAGGATGAGATCAAGCTGCAGAGCATCGGCGATGGGAGCGACTACACAGTCGATTCGGCATACCTCCTGAAATCGCTACTCACCCCGCGTGCACAAGAGTTCAAGGTGATCACAAAACGCGAGCAGAAGAGGGACGCCGCGCTCTCCCCCTTCCACGCTTGCAAGCCGTAGGAGGGCGGCGTGTATACTATAGGGGGAGGGGGTGGGGGAGGGGCAACGATTTTGGCAATGGAGCTTGGTTGTCTTACACACCCGCAGCCCACGTGCTCTTTTCCTTTTGTTCTCCATCCCGCACCTTTACCCCAACCCCACCGCCCATCCCAGCCCCGCCCAAACCCACCACCCCCGCAACCCATCCCACCATCCCAACAGGAATACATCAACGATTGGAGTGCCAGGTGCGACCCGCGCTCGAACTCGGACTGGCAGCGCATGGTGGTTGGTTGGTCACGTGACGTCGGCGCTTGATGCATTGGGTAACCTACAGGGGGCAGCGGGCGAGATGGTCGACATCGTGACGGAGCCCACGGAGCACCGCGGCGTGTACGCCAAGGTTGACATCGATGTCTCCAGCGCGATCTTCCCGCCCTTCTCGACCAAAGTTGCCTTCTCGGATACAGCTCCAAACGGTGCCATCGACGTCGGCGCGGAGATCACTAATGCGGACGGCGTCGCGCAGAAGCTTTACATCTTCATGAAGCTGCAGAAGCATGATCCAGGCGGCATCGCGGACAACACGCGCGGCAGCTACAAGATGGCGAAGATAGAAGGGTTCATGCCGCACTACTGGCTCATTGACAAAGAGGTGACCGACCCCAAGAAGTCTAACATGGCCATCAAGCTTCACACCGTTGACGCCTCGGTCGGCGCGGAGAAGTTTACATTGAAAATACCGCTCCTGGAAAACACCAAACCCATCAAAAAGGGTGACCAGCTTCGCGCACTGAAGCCGCAGGCGGCGAAGGCGCCGCCGATGAAGAGGGTCCGCACGCAGTAGTCGTGGCTCGCGGAGCCGAGCTTATTAGACACTTGTGCCGCGATCTCAGGTCGGTGGGGCGGCACGCCGATTAAGGAGACAATGGTATTATTATTGCGGATTTCCTTTAGCGCTTGCAGGACACACGGCGTCCTCTGGACACATGGCGTATTCTTCTCTTTCAGCGCTTGCAGGAGAAACAAAAACAGCTCGCATGCGCTCGCGCGGGGAGAGGGGGATGGGGGAGGGGGCAGCGGCAGCGCTGGTCCAAGCCTCGTCGCTGCGGCTGGGCGCGGGCTCGATTGCAGTGACAAGCCGTCAGTGATCAAGCGAGGTTGCGCTCGGCCGCCGCGGGGGGTTCGCGCGGCTGTTTTCACGCGCGCCGATGTCGTTCACGATCGAGGCGAAGCCCGTGGTCCAATATCATGCCGCGGACATGAAGCACGTCCGCACGTGGGTGCCCCAGTACACCAAGACGATCGATGGAGCTACGTACGTCGAGCTCAGGCAGACAGATAGACCTCTCGCTGTCTTACTCGGCCTATCCCACGAGGGCAAGGCCAAGTACTGGAGCAAGAGCTGCATCCTGGAGGATTTGCGCAAGGCGAGGAACACGCGCGTGGACGAGGTCTTACTTGCCCACTTGCATGCGTGCAACCCGTGCGAGAAGCCACCCGCTCTCCCAGATGGCTTCAACAGGATGGCGGTGAATCCCGACGACTTGCCCTATGTTACCAGCGTGGCTTTGACTTGCAACGAGGGCGCGACCTTCAATATGAAGATGACCGTGGAGCTCATGCCATTGAGGGTGCCATGTGTTGAGCTGACCGTGGAGAATCTCACTTGGCTCCAGAAGGTGGCGACGGCGTCGGCCTTGCAGCCAACGCCTGTGAAGCCGCTCAAGCGCAAGCGCCCAGAGGATCGCATTGAATTGCCCACGCCAGAGGCGAAGTTCGATTATCGCAGGAAGTCTATATTCCTGCAGTGCAAGGATGCAGACGGGCGCAAGCACTTGCAGTACCAAAAACCAAAAACCATGGAACTCGCCGACATTGAGACAGCGATTGAGACCCTTACGGGCGATATTCTCAAACGTGGTTGGACGGTCTACGACGGCAACGCCGATGACGACGATGGCGGCGGCGATATCCCGCAGTTGGAGTCGCAGGAGTGAGCGTTGTGATGCGCGTGCGCACAGCAGTCTATCCTAGCATAGGCATTGGCGGATGCAGCAATGCAGTGTCGCCGAGGGGGGACGGGTAGGACAAACAGATTTCGTTGCATGTCCAATCGGTGCTGTTGCAAAAGTCTAGACGCTTCGCGCATCACCGTCAGCCCATCCAGAAACAACGCCCAGGCGAGTTGAGGTGATCAGGGAAGTGCGGGAGCAAGGAGGGGGGCAGCCGAACCGTGCGAAGGAGGAAGGAGGAGACGGAGGATGCTGGATGGATGGATGAGGGAGTGGGGAGAAGGAAGATGAATAGGAGGAGGAGGAAGAGAAGGAGGATGAGGAGAAGGAGGAGGACGGATGACGGAAGACGGATGAGCAGGAGGAGGAGGAGGGCGAGCAAAATGGCCAAAGGTCTCTTGGATGCCTGTCGGAGCCTCTTGGGATATCTCTTGGGCGCTTCTTGGAGGCCTCTTGGGCGTCTCCTGGCGGTCCTGGGGGTCTCTCGGGCGTCTTGGGTGCCTCGGGGGGGGGGGGGGGGGGGGGGGGGGGGGGGGGGGGGGGGGGGGGGGGGGGTCTTGGGTCTCTTGGGGCCCTCTTGGGAGCATCTTATGAGAGCCTATTGGGGCCATCTTGGGGGCAATCTTTGCGCCTCTGGAAGCCTCCTGGGCGCCTCTTGGGGCAATCTTGAAGGAGATCGATCAAAGAAGAGGGGCCCCTTAATTAGCCTTGCCCCTTTAGAGCCCCCAGAATCGCCTCTTGGACCCCTCTTGGGGCGCTCTTGGAGCGCTCTTGGGCGCTCTTGGGGCCGTCTTGGGGCTCTCTTGGGCCCCTCTTGTGTCCCTTTTGGGCCATTTTGGGGCCATCTTGAAGCCTCGGATGGCCATCGGAAGCGAAAAGGCGAGAAGCAGAACATCATTGGTTTTCCGAAGGTGTTTGAAAGATTTTGGCCTCTTGGGGGGCCTCTTGGAGCTTTGGGGCGGTCTTGGGACCTCTTGGAGCATCTTCGGAGCCATATTGAGGCATCTTCGGCTATCTTGGGCCATCTTGGAGCTCATCTTATAGGCTCTCCGAGGCGCTCTTGGAGCCGTCTTTGGCGAACTACCCTCTGACACCTCGCGGGGCGCCCTGTCCAGGTCCATGGGAGAGGGTAAGGGGGGAGGGGTAAACCCCTCCCCGAAGGGGAAGAAGGAGGTTGGAAGAGGAAACTCCCTAAACCACCTACGCCCAGAGGGCTTGTGGGATATGTCAACCCTTTCCAAATTTCGCAGCGATCATCGCTTTCCAGCCCCCGCACGCGTGCGTTCGCTACGTGGCGCGCGCGCCGCATAAAGCGGCGGAGGCGATGGCAAGAAAGAGTGTCTGGGGGTGGTAGGTGGAAAGACAAGGAGGGGAAATGGTGGCAAGCGATGGCGGTGGGAGCATGGGCGTTGGGAATTGGAATTGGGGGCTGGAGGAGCGAGGAACATGGGTCGGATTTTTCGTCAGCGATCTCTTGCTGGGGCCCCAGCGGTGATTAGCAATATAAGCAGCAAGAGTCGTGTTCCACTCCCCTGACTGCAAGACACGCACCTCATGCGCGTGGCATTCGGATTTCCGCTGTGATGAGGAGCCGCCATCCATATACAATGTACTTAAAACTTATAGTGTACTGTATGCACTATTGGCTCAAACCACCAGCGCGGGCGCTGCAGCTGATATGCACTATTGGCTCAAACCACCAGCGCGGGCGCTGCAGCTAATATGATAAGCGCGGTCAGGCCAGCCCCCGCGAGCATCGCAATCACCCCTCCATCTGCAGTCCTAGCAGAGGCGGCGTTTGCGCCGATGGTATAGCCCTCGAGCGGCGTCACAACAGAGCAGAGTGGCAGTTGCGAGTCAACATCGGCAGTTGCCAGTCACAGCAAAGTCGGCGTTCGCGCGCCAATGATCTAGCCCTTGATCTCGTCAAAGGACCAGTCCTCGGAGTCCATCCAGATCTCGTCATCGGGCCCGTCCGCGGGGTTCACCTCTTGTAAGCCCTGGTCGGATATCATCTCCCGCTGCAGCGGCCGATCCCACGTTTGGATCCATGGGTCCATAATGAAGCCGTAAGCTCTGTGCACGCCGCGACGATGTTTCTTGCCTCCTCGACGACGGCGGTAAGGCCGCGGGCTGCGACTGCGGCTGCGATTCGAGGATGCGGGCTTTTCTCCTCGAGACCTGCGACGGCAAGGCTGCGGGCAGCGACTGCGGCTGCGACCCGAGGCTGCGGGCATAGCTCCTCGGGGCTTGCGACGGCAAGACTGCGGGCCTGCCTTCTCGAGGCATGGCGATCGCCGCCGCGGGCGGCTGCGGCTGCGCCGCGGCCGCGGAGCGCGGCTGCGACTGCGGCTGCGACAGCGGCTGCGGCTGCGCCGCGGCCGCGGAACGCGGCTGCGACTGCGACTGCGGCTGCGCTGCGGCTGCGCCGCGGCCGCTCGCCGAGCGGACCGCCGCAGCTGCGACTGCGGCTGCGCGCTCGGCGAGGGACGGCGGTGCAATGGCGGCGTGATGGGGGCGCTCTTGGACCCCATGCTGCCAACCTGAACCGCAACGGCCAGCATCTTTGCGCATCTTATATTTGCATTGCTTATCTGTGCGATTCTTACCATCGCGCTTCTTATCTTCGCGCTTCCTTATCTTCGCGCTGCCTTATCTGTGCGATTCTTACCATCGCGCTTCTTATCTTCGCGCTTCCTTATCTTCCTATCTTCGCGCTTCCTTATCGCGCACGGTTGGGTTCAGAGAGCGCGCGCGCTCGTGCCTAACCCAAGCAATGCTTGCACTTGCGAGCAGCGGCGCGCGCGCTACGCACCGCCAGTTATCTTGCCTGGCATTCGACGGTCTTATATTTGAACACATTGCTTAACAATATTGTTTGTTGTTGTTCCTTTTTCGGACCGCGTCCAGACGCGGAGCCGCGGCCCGCGGCGACCAGTCCTGGCGCGTGAACGCCTGAAAAGGAATCTAAGAACACATGCGCTCTAAACTGGGCGCCCCTCACTGCCAGGCGGCGTCGTCGCCAGGGCCATCGACCGCGGTCGGCTGAGAATGCTGAGTACGATACCGAATCATACGCTCCACGGCGTTGTAGTGCACCTCTGCCATAATCAGTCGCCTGGTGCGATCTATGACCGAGTCCTCGCATGCCTCTATGGCGACATCGACGGCTCTGGCCTCGGTGGCGTCGTGCGTGTCTATTGCGTCCTGCCGCTCATGCCACATCGCGCCCAGCATTGCCCTCGCCTGCTGGAGCTGGTCCTCCAGTGCGTCCATCCTCTCCTCCAGCGCTGCCCTGCGCAGCTGCATCTCGCGCATCCGCAGATCCATCTCCTCCATGCGCTCGAGGGCGAGCTCGCATGCCTCGGTGTCCTGGGCCTCGATCGCGACGAGCAAGGCGGAGCGCGGCGTCCTTGACCTCGAGCGGCGTGCCCCGCGCCGCGGTGGAGCGCCGCGCTGCGCTGCGGTGGGGCGCGGCGCCCTGGCCCTCGGGCGCGGCGAGCAAGGTGACACAGACCTGGCGCACCAGACCGAGTCGGACGCCGAGAGCTCGGAGATGGCAACGCTGCCAACGTTCCTGCAAGATTCTCCCGAGCACGGGGCTGGCAACGCTTCTGCAAGTAGCGCCGAGAGCTCCGAGAGTGCCGCTTTCTTTCTCTGGCTCGCCCGCGCCCTGCACTGTCGGCGTTTCACAGTCGGCGTCACGCCGCCGCGGCCCTTGCCATGGCCGCCGCGGCGTCGGCGGCCACGATGGGCGGCCATGCCGCCCTCTCACGCCCGCATTCCTTGAAGGACCTCGACCGCGCGGTCAAGTACATTTGGGCCAAAGCGG